GCCCATCTACACAAGAGCCCTCGGGGGGCAGAGGACAAGTCTGACAGCCATGATGGCACCACGTATCCTCCCCTGGCTCCCCAGCCTGTCCTGCTCCCATCAACCTGTTAAAAACTATGAAATTCTGACTCCTGACAAATATAATTCAGAATGTTTGAAATATATTTTTTTACTTTAACCACCACTTTACAGCTGAATTTTTGTGAGTACCCTTGACAAGTGATTGTCTCCATGGTTGCAAGAGACAGGGCTGCCGGCAAGCCGAATTTTATGGTTTGTCAGATAGAAAAACAAGGGACAAAGGGGTGCATAATGAGAAAACACATGATGGCAGAGAATAAAATTCCCCCCCAAAAAGTATTACACATTGCCTATTTTCCTGGTCCCTGAACTGAGAGGCATGATGATGGCCAAGAAGTTCAATTTGCAGCAAGAAAAATGGAAATGGAAAAAATGAGTTGAGCCAGGAGGGGAGGTGGTTATGTAGTGTCCATTTGGGATGTTCTCATAGAAAGCAATTCTAATGGATGTACATGCCTAGGAGCAGTTTGTTGATGACAATGTGAACTCTACTGGAAAAGCTGACTTCAGTGAAGTGAAGCAGTTTGGCTGTACTCTCCTGAGGGGAAAACTGAATGAACCTTACAGAAATTTGTAAACAGATAGAGGCAGTGGAAAAGCTCTGACAGCTAGTAGCAGAAATCTGCTCCTCCAAAACACAAGTCGCTTGCTCGGTTATGATTTTGTCCATTATGTGTGTTGTGAAAAGAAAGGAGGACAGAAAACACAAAATACATGTCCTGGCTGCATCTTGAGTAAGCCTGATGGAGTGGGAGAGACAGAGATAAAAAAGCAGTGGCGCATTTCTTGTAACTAGCCTATCATTCTCTTGGGATCAAATCCACTAACAACAGGTCAGGCTGGGGGCAGGTGTTCTGCTGAGGCTCTCAGTGTGCCATTTTTCCACAGTGTGGCCAACTGGGACTTGCCGGGGCTGGAGTCTAAAAATGCTTACAACCCAGGACCAACACAAAGGTTTGGACTGTTGCTGCGTCATTAGAAACTACTAGAAAAATATCACCGCTGCTGACAAAACGTAACAAAAAGTATTAAAAATTGTTGCTTTGTAGGTGATTTGGGCGACAGGAGAGGACTTCATGCTGGCTCGTTCTTTCTGGCTCTGCAAGGGGAAAAGCAGAGCATAGGCTAAAATAAACGAAAAACAAAAACACTGGAAAAGACTCTTGAGAACATTTTGAATTTCAAAATACAGTCGCAGCATCCTGTGATTTCCCGTGCAAAGCAATCAGGCAAGTGCACTTGATCATGAATAAGCCTGAAATTGTGCATGTAAGGGTAAAGTGGTAGCTGGAAATTCAACTCAATACATATTAGGCTACAAGTCCGTTTTTTTTGTTTGTTTTTTTTCCACCTTTCAATTTGATGCGTCTCTCAGACTGTCTGAGATTACACTGCCGTGGTGAACACACCTTCACTGTCTCCTGCTGGGGAAAAAAAGGGTCTCCCAAAACAACACAGCACTGGTTGGCGGACCCACGACCCATGTGACTGTAAAAGGCTGTCACAAATGTGTATAGATTGGATTGAGACCTTGGCTCAGGTCCAGCAAAATAGAGAGCACAGTAATAACACTAAAATGTGTGTGTGTGTGTGTGAGTGAGAGAGAGTGAGAGAGACAAAGGAAGTGTGGAAAAGAAGATGCCAGAGGAAGAATACATTTCCAAAGCTGTTAAAAATAGCCTTTGCACTCTCAGCTAAAAGGGAAGCAATAATTAAGCAGCTGAAACTTAAAACTAAATATAGATTAGATGACAAAGAGCTCTGTTGTTATGACTATGCATTTTCGTTGCAAATTTGTTGACTTAAAGGCATCATTCAGGCATCATTCACTCAGAGTGTAAAAAAGTGTCTCTGTTTCAGTTAAGAGAGAAACAGGGAAATCTAAAGGGCGACAAAAGAAAGGGTCTCGTTACTGAAGAATTAACGGTCCGCACCACTGAACACAATAAATGACAATTGAGGAAAAAGAAAAGAAGCAGAGCAACATTAACAGCTTTCAGTAATGACACGTGAATTGTTTCTTTTTTCTTTTATTTTTCTCTGCCGTGGCATTTGCACAATGACACCTGCACTGATGGAAATAAAACGCAGAGCAATGAAATTATAGAGCAATATGGTTACATAGGGTAAGAGCAGGAGGGCGGCCTTGTGGAAAACGCAGTAAGGGAGGAGTAACAGGTAGAGCTAGGTGGAGAGAAAATGTGTATGAGTATTAATGAGAAAATTCGAGGCACATCCCCTGACTTTATTACAGGGAAATTGACTGTGCGGCTCGTCCCACTGGAGGTAACCTTGTCACGACACCGGCTGCCACAAGGAGCACCTCTTTGTGCCATTTGGAAATATAATTTTCTCAGAATTAATCAGGCCTCATTATTGATGCTTTGATCTTGGAGCCAGCGGAAGTAGCCTCTGTATCTCTTTGTTGTGCTGCAGTTAATGTCAGCATTCTGGAAATGAAAGGACGAACCACCATCCAGGTGTCAATATGAATCAAACATTGAAAGGTACGGCCGGGGTATTCACGGGCTTTGAAAATGCTGGAGTTGGTCGGACAGACGGCCGTGTTTTTACCTCAGCTGATGGTGAAAACCAAGAGATGTGAGCAGAATTGGAAAACCAACATGGGATTTATGGATTTACCTTAATACTGAGTTGTTCACAGAAGAGCAGAATATAATCCAAATAGTCATTTATTGAAAATGAATACCAAAACCGTACAGGCAGAGAGGAGGAGGATAACATGAATCTACATTTTGATTCAGAGTGAGTATTTTGAAATATACGTATTTAGGGTACTGGTCCAAGGTTGTTTGGCTGCCACCTCCATACCATCCCCATTCTGGCAAGACGGGACAAAACAACATTAGCCCTGGCTGGAACAAACAACCTGCAAGATAGCAAATTAACATTTCGATCCTTGCAATCCTCTCTAACGACTGACCGCAAGAACAAAATGTGCTGTTCTCTCTGGCCGGTCAGCTGCTTCCATTTGCAGGGGACTGGGCAGCAGCCTGCAGGGTCCTCCGGGCCATCTCCAGGGCTCCTTCCTGCGTCTTGTTCCCGCCAATAAAGCCCCCGGCGTGGACGAAGATGCAGTCCTTAATCCCGCTGAGCTCCGACAGCGCCTCATCTCGAACGCCGCGCCACTCTTCCAGCAGGGACAGCCTAGGAAAAGGAAAACAGAAGGGCAAGTTGGCTTACAGATGGACACTGTGTGGTCAGCTGCTCACTTCCTGTTGACACATTACTTTTGCAGAACACGCTGTGCCGCACATGTCGGCACAAGCAGAAAACCAGCGATTACAGCACCAATTCTGGGCTCAGGAATAATGTAAACACACTATCCATAAATGAACAGAAAAAACAAAATAACGATGCAAGAATAAATTATTTGATAGGCAACTATTTTGTTGATTGGTTAATTGAGTGACTTTTTAAGGAAAAATAAACATTTACTGGCTCCATCTCCTTAAATGTGAACATTTGCTTCTTTGCTTTGTCTTATATGATAGTAAACTGAATATTTTAGAGTTCTGGACTGTGAGTTGGACAAAACGAGCAATATCAATATTTCTTCTTGGGCTTTAGGAAACTGCGATATGCATTTTGCGCAATTTACTGTCATTTCATTAATAAACAAACTGAGAAAATAAACAGCAAAATAATTAAACATAGAAATAACTGTTCGTCACTAACGGCAGATGCACAAAAAACAAAAATTCATTTAAAAATGTGAACTAAATGATATTGATTTCCTTTCTTTTTTTTTGTATGGATTCGCACAAAGACTTTGATTACTTTCATCTTTTCAGGTGACCATACGGTTGTGAGGTAAACCGCTGCCATTAAAGGTAAACTGCAGTCACCCTCGCACATAGCACCACTGCAATCAGTCCCAGCGCAATGACCAATGATTTTATTGGTTGCTTTATTCTTCTCCAGTAATGTGGAAAATCACAGATCGGCACAGCGGTTGGAGAGCCATGCAGTGGCGGCGGAGTCAACAGGCAATCTTACAAAGTGGGGGAAAGATTGGCTCTGGGAGGGTTTACGAGCTGACCTCGAGAAAGTGTCTCTGGATGTAGCGAACAGAGGCTGAAAAAAATCATAAAAATGTAGAGCAGCTCATTTACCACCCACTGGATGTAGCACACACCCCTGTCCACAGCCTGGCAGATCGTTTAAAACACATTACCAGTTTTCTTTGGTGTGTGTGCGCGAGTGTGTGCATTTCCTTGATGGGGTTATTATCTCCATTATCTCAGACCACTGTTCCTCTAAAAGTATTGATATATTTAGCCATCTTTCATACAAATTCTGATTTCATTCTGATTCATCACTTCATCGCTCACCTCTCGCCCTTCCACTGCTTCTGAAATAGACTTTAAATGCCTTAAAAACTGGCTCAATCTGCTAAAAGCTTCAGATTTCATTGAACATGTCATACCAACCTCAGGCTTCTCTTCCTCCTTGTCACATGCTTGATGAATTATGGAACTGTACAGTCAAACTTGTGAGAAATAAAGTGACACGGCTGTCAAACACGGCTGCAAGTTTGAAATGAGGGAAGTGTTTTCTCGTATTCTCAATTTTGAAAAGTTCAATTCTCAGATATTCTGCTTCCCTTTGAATATTAAATCCTCTATAATTGTAACATTCAGAGGGTGAGGAAGCTTCAAAATCATCAGAAATTGTGGTTGATATGTACACGTGCAAGGAAACTAAATTTTTCTCCAACTCCATGCCATTAACTCCAGACTACACAATCTTATCCCTATTAAGACTGTTGATAGGACAACCTGGGGAGGGAAGCATGGCAAACCCATAATCCCTGTTAAATGAATCAACCAATCGATAGCTCCACAGTATGGCTGGAAAATGAGCTCTGAGGAAAGGTCAACAGGGCTGGTAATGAGGGAAGGAGTAGGAGGGGGATGACTGTTGTTGTTGTTATGACAGGGCAGGGAGCTCCGATTCTTCACGATGACCAGTCTAAAAATAAGCCTACAATTAGCAAATTAGTCTTCTCATTGCATAAGACCCCCCTCAGACCTTTATCAAGCCTTAATGAGACAGATATTGGGAAGGAGTGCTTTATTAGGAAAAAAAATGTTACTCAAGATTAGGTATACTGGAGATAATGGGTTATCAAAGCATAAAATCTGCTAGAGAGTCCGAACCCTCTGTCTTAATTTCTGAAATGATGATATGAGACACTTGTATATATGCAGTGTTACATCTTCCTGCAGCTTGCTGACTCACACCATCTCTATGCTAGAGACTTTACACATTTCACACATCTTTCTCCTTTCAAAAGCGGCCATAGCTGTGATTTAGTCAAGTGGTATCACAAGAAGTCTGAGAGGAAAAAGTAGGAAAAACTTCAAATAATTTTGTGTTTTTTCAAAGTTAAATCAAACAGGATTTCTCAATAAATTATTTTTTTTCATAATTTTTCAAGCAAAAATGCCAAACACTCTCTAGTCTGACCTTCTCATTTGTGGGGATTTGCTGTTTTTCTTTTAGTCACATGATAGCTAATTCAATAGCTTTTTGACAGAAAATGTCATCTAGGGATTTTGGAAATTGTGATGGGGATTTCTCACCGTTTTCTGACATTTTACCGGCCTAACGAATGATTGGAAAAAAAATCAAAAAATTAAAAAGGAAAAAAAAGGTAAATAATCATTAGTTGAAAGCCTAATACAGAGGCAGAGCAGATAACTGGGACAGCAGCCGGTGTGTTTTTCCACAAACGTTCTGGTCCATCTCATATTGCTATCAACCTACAGCATTATCCTGCACTGTACATCTCCGGGGAAGGACTGCTTCCACTCTCCTCTTCCTTCTCCCGGCTCACATTTCCTTAGCAATGTGATGCTGATAAAAATAGACCTTTTTCCCCCAGGTGCAGTGGCAGGGACACAGGTGATAACAACACCCCTTTCGCGGAGTCGGCACATGCCTACTGGGAGGGAAGCACACCACGCAGAGAAAGAGCCATCTGGAGCTATGTTTTTTTTTTTTTATTTATCCATCTCACAAGCCATTGTTCTCATGTAGCTCCACCCCAACTGCCGTGTTTGCATTAAATTAAATCTTTGAAGTACTCCACCACCATAAACAGGTGCCTACGTCTTTTTAGTTGAAAGTGCTGCTGGCCGCCTGATGAGATTCTGCAGCGGAGTGGGAAAAAAAAATCTAACACTGGATTGAGGCGATGGAGGGGTGGAAGGTGTGAAAGGTGAGACAGCGAGATAGGGGAGAGGGTGGATGAACAGGAGGAAAAGAGGGGAGAAACCGGATTAGTAGAGAGAGAGCAAGACAGATAGGAAAAAGGTGATGAAATGGAATAGGGTGATTATAGGAAAGAGATAGAAATACTGTACATGAGAGAGAGACAGAGAGGCAGAAAGGAAACACTAACAGGAGAGCCAGGGGCAAGGGGAGCTCAGGGAAAGAGGTGAAAATAGAAACCATGAAACGGAGCAGCCAGGCCTGAATCAAAAAGCCCCCTACTGCTCCCAAGCAACCCACAGTGTATCAGTAATGAGACTTGTCAAACCCAGGATAAAAGCATAAGGGCGCATACTATCAGAGGTAACAACACTTTTAAAGAGCATGGTAGTCAGGTGGACGACTGGCTCGGAGACCATCTGCTGTGAAAGCGAGTTCTCGAGTCGAGTACGAGGCATCTCAGACGTCACATTTGTCAAACCAATCTTCACACAACCCAAAATTGCCGTTTCAGATCTGAAGAACATTCTACATCCTCTGTCTTTTGACCTTTTATTTGGATGAGGGGGAAAAAAAAAGTAAAACCTTCAAAAAAAAAAAAAAAAAAAAAAAAAGAAAAAAAAGGGAGAAACATCAGGAAGAGCGACACAGGAGGGACTTGAACAAAACAGGCAGAAGTAGCAATAGAATAACCTTGTGCAGAATCAGAATGACCATACTAGAGTTAAAGTCCTTAAGATCGTCTCTATTCATGAACATTATATTTTTTCCCTACACTGTATGTACCATCTATAATTACCTCTCTATAATGTAGTTTTCATTGTTAGCGACGCAGTCATCCATTCCTGCATGGTATTAAAATGTCACAAGGGACTGGCAGGGGACAACACACGCATGTTATCGTTCAATCATCGCCGTTTTACTGTGTGTAATTCTATCTCATCGATATCAGCCTCTCTGTTGACCGTTCACTCTGTTCAGGGCTGTATTAAGTTTATGCTGACGCAAAGCAAACACGTCCTACTGCTGCTGGCTCTCAGAAAGCAGTCAACTGACAAAGCAACAGCAGTCACAGGAAACAATGAGTTTGTCGTCGAGGTGAGTACACACTGTATAATAATGAGGAAAAAGTGTGTGTGAGAAGTTAAAAGGGTTTCGGCGCATTTGGTTATTAGAGGTTGGGCTAATTTGCAAGGTTAAAAAAAGAAGTCAGATAACAGAACGTGCTCGTCAGGCAAACAGAAAACAACTTCAATGCTGGGAGTGGATATTACATAGAAAATGTCACAGCTTATCACAGCTGTACACATTATCTTCTCTTTGACACTTGTTAAAAGAAGCTGTTTTCGATACAAACCATCACATTTTCTATTAAATTTTCGCTCGGGATCAGACTGGAAGAAAATTGCTCCTTAAAATAATGCAGATGGAGAGAGCAGGAGGGGGATAAATAAATAAAACAGAAGGCGCAATGGTAATGATTAACTCACAAAAAGAATGTGACCAAAAGCGGCATGATTTGTGCTCCAGGGGGAATAAATAATAAACGTGAGGATGTCGGACAACAAGGTGGGGTTTAACTTTTTTTTTCTTTTTTTTTTTTACTATTTTGTCTAAAGGCAACAGAACCGAATGACCCTGAACTACCCTTCTGAACATAATCCATACAAAAATACTGCAGATTAAGCAGAGTGAGAGGACAGTGTGACGAAAGATGAAGGAGAATCTACTGTATATTTAAATCTGTTATTATTCAGATTGTTCAGACATGGACATGCATGAACATACACACACACACACACACACACACACTCACCGCGCGCACACACACACACACACACGCAACTGAGTCTGAGCGAATTCATTAGCTGATTCACAGGCAACACTAATGACTAATTTTTCCTCCCTCATTCCCTAAAGTATTACCTGCTTTAATTTTTCACACAGCCACAGACAGCAGTAGGAATGGGAATTTTGGCGTTTGGGATTTTAACAAATTATCAAATCCAGTTTTGAATTAATTTGTCAAATCTGGAATCTTATTAAGTGTATCTTTCAAATAACTAAAAGCTAAAATAACCACAACTAAAAAATCACTCTTTTATGGGCTGAGAATGCAGGAGCACTGCGGTTTTTAGTGGCAGCCTAATTCATGTTCATAACCTGGATCCAACAAGCTGAAAATGAGATGAGGAGGAAAATATTAATTAAATGATTCTGAGAGGAAAGACATCACTCTGTTGGTTCCTGTTAAACTGAAACACACGATCCACTCACTGTCGTACACTGGTGTCACAGTTCGACGCAGACACCAGCTGCAGAGAGCACTTCAACTGGTCAACAGCCAACCATTTCATTTATGCCTTTACCAAATTAATGTTAATTAGTTACAGCTGATCTAATCTGCCGACAGTGGCGTCTTGGCATTTCAACCAGCAATGGTCTGAGGGCAATGCAACCCTCTCTACAGACAATACCACAGGCCTGCATCTACCACATGGACTATTTTTCTTCTTTGTACTTATTGTCATTAAGTGTCTGTGCTATATTGCACTGTGGTCCAGAGTGACATTTCGTTTCAGTGTATTTTTTTTTGTGTATTTTGTGTTAATGACAATAAAACTGAACTTGAACTACATGTTTTGCATTGTTCTTTGCAAATAAAAAATGGTGAGCAGAGATAAAAAGATGTGATAAATTTGTAAGAGCGTAATGAATCCAGGTATTTGGCCAGGATTCGAAATGGAACTAGCTATCAGAAGTCATTCGTGGGCAATGATGTTCATCGCTACAGCTTTGTCAAGCACAAATCACAACTAATATTCTTTCACCTCTGTCACTGGTGCTTAAATGGACATGGAGAAGACGCAGTGCTATCACTTTGAAAAGCAGAGATCAGCATGAAACATCACAAGTCGTCAAAACAAAAAAGCAGCACGGTGGATGAAAAGATTTTCTGTACCAAATGTAAAATGATGCGCTCTAAGCAACCGCTAATGTTCTGTCAGTATCTGGTGAAAGAGCAAAGTGAAAGTGTGTTTTGTGGATTATAAAGATGTTTAGCGTAAAACAGTGACGAGACAACACTGCAGGGCACGCAGTAGCTAGAAAGGCAAGTATCCGTAAGATGATGCGGGAAAAGCCTGGAGCACGTTTCCTTGGCCATACACTGATAATGTGGTCTGTAGGATTCTGTGCAGAAGTCAAATAACACATCAACTAGAACTCCACCTGGGGGATGCTGATGGCTTGATGAGAGCAGCATTGCAGGTCAGCAGGCGGGAGAGAAACCCGACTTAATCATCTGACAAATTCACACAGAGGGTCTTTGTTTCGTACCCACCGTCATTATGTACTGAGAGACAAGACAAAAATACTGACGTGATTTACTGAGCACAGATGACATGCATGTTGTTTAAGGCTTGTGTTCAGATCCTCAATTTTGCTAGAAGATGAGAAAATGCTCAACAACTACAGCTGCTGGGAATGATACAATGCAAGGTAAGACATTTATATGTATGGCACAAACACAATTCAAAGTGTTTTACAGTGCACAGTGTGTAAAAAAGTATTAAAACATTTAAAAGACCATGAGAATGAAAATGAAAAAGGAAAATACACAAGAGTAATAGACAACGGAATAAATACAGTGCAGTTTCAGAACTAAATCAGTTCTGGAGAATTGTAACACAGAAGCAGATAACACATTCAGTTTGTCCGTAATCAATTTAGCGGTTTATTAACAAGTAATAGTATCTTAAAGTCAATACTCTGGCCCACTGATAGACTAAGAACTCGGCCGGCAGCGCTCTGAACGCCTGAAGTGAATGAGCTCCAGCTGTCCAATGCAATGCAGTAGGCAGAGAGAGGCTTTTCAGCCATGCGAGTGGTGTCGCTCTCGGGATGGTAAAGGTGGTCTGTCGGTGAGGTCCACCACTTTGATCCAGACTGATAGATCTCAACAACTAGTGGATGGATTGCCATGAAACTCTGTACAGCTATTCATGTCCGCCAGAGAACGATATGACTTTGAATACACTATGAGGGGTGATTACTTGAACTTTTCATCTAGCGCCATCATCAGGCCAAAATTTCAATCTGTGAAATACTTTGGTTTATGACCAACGTGGAAAATGAATGACATTTCCATTAGCCCTTTGTGATAATTAGCCAATACTTGCAGGCTAACACACTAAACTAAGTTGTTCAACACGGTAAACATTATAAATAATTCTAAACATCCGCACGTGAGCGTTTTTCATGTTATGGGCATTTTAGCATGCATATGTTAGTATTTATTTCAAAGCCCCGCTGTGACTAAATACATCCTCATAGAGAAAACTAGAAGACTCTTAGTCTTTTTACAGTAAGGGAACTGGTGTAATTTTGAACTGTCTGGGCTGTTAACATTCATGTATTACTCCGTTAACTACACAAGAATTGCTGATTTGATTTTCAGTCTTCAGAGAGAAGGATTTGAGGTGAGCATTGACATTTGATCTTTCCTCTTCAGCAACAAATAAATATTTTTAACTTCAGCACATTGGAACATCGAAACCACTGATTTATTCAGTGCTCTTATTTAAGGATTAATTGTGACTGTGAATACTCAATGATGCAGCTATGTAACTTCTGAGAAACCTAAATTATATTCATATTACAAGACGGCTGTGATTGTGAGAGTGAGTCTGTTGCTCAATAGAGCATGAATCTCACATTCATTAATATTCACCTTCATAAAAATGCTGCAGCATGTTTAAATAAGTGGCTGTAAATAAAAGAGTCTGTCAAACTGCCAAGCCATCGAGTACCATACAGAACATGTGTATTTGAAGAAGAGAGGTCCATTAGCATTAGGAAAACAAAGACGAAACACCTGAGTGAGAGGTGTGTGTGTGCGGGGAAAGGGCTCAGGTGGCTGTGCTGAGGTGCTGGGTGTGTTTACATCCTTCCAAACCCTTAGAGAGCAATGTGAGAACAAAACCTCTGCCTTAACTAAAGGATCATCCTCGTCCTATAAAACAAGTATTTCTACCCTAGCAGGAGTTACTCTCTCACCGGACGACATGGCAGCCCTCTGTGAGTAGTTGTCAAACGGTCCAAAAAGCATGAAAGTTGAATCACACACCATGGTTCATCTCTGTCACCAGATCTCAACACAATTCAGCACATCTGGGAGACTCTGGAGCTGTGTCTGTAACTGTGTTCTCCTCCGATGTTTGAATAAATCCTGTATTCTAAAATCCTGAATATCTTGTGTGTGAGTGCGTGTCACAACCTCCCTGTGTGCTCCGCATGCTTGATTTCTGCCAAGGTAACTCATGCAAGGTGCTCCCCTCCGCAGATGAGATCACAAGGTGTGCCCCATGAAGCAGAAATGGCATTTAAATAACCTTTAATCAAATCTGACTAAAAATAGGCTTTGGATCAAAGCGCAGATGTAGCTCTTGCATTTAGAAAAAAATAAAATAAATAAATCACCTGTTCTCAAAGGTGTTGAGCCCAGCGGGAACACACTGGACCCTCCACTGTCCGTTCTGGTCTGGGTAAAGGACAAACTTGATGGGCGCCTCGACTTGGAGCTCCTTCTCCAGGGCAAACAGATGCTCCTTCCAGGGACAACCGCCCTGTTGGAACAACACCACCTCCCCACTTGGATCTACCTGGTCATGAGAAGAGGTCCAGAAAACTGGAAGTTATTAATGTGCAAGATAAAGGACGAGCACAAAGAGTGGAGGCCTTCAGCTTTAGTGGAGAGGCAACAGTTACAGTTGTCTGTGTAATTTAGGATTTCTTAGAAAATAAGGGAAAAGAATAATCAAACAACTGCTTAATCTTATAGTTTCTCAATTATCATCAGATCTAATAGTACATTATATGATTTAACATCAGCTGGGGAGCCAGAACAGTTGTTAGTTTTTGGCACTGAAAATGAAAATTAGACATTGAAATGAAAACTTAAATTGAAAAAGGAAACACTGGTGTTGAAAAACTTGCTTTGCAGTGAGAAAGATATTGGAAAAGTTCCATTAGAAAATAAATCCTGCAGCCACTCCCCTCCATGACAGAGAATCGAAGCTGAATAATTATTTTGTGATAAGTATATTTAGTATTAGTTGCCATATTACCAATACAATAATACTGTATATTGCATCACACAATTTTCACAGTGAACGGTTATTTCACAAGTACCCAAACAAAGAGAAAAGGTTGAGAGCAGGGAGAAACCCTCTGCTGCTGATTGATGATGCATTATTACCTGTGTTATTGCTTGCTGTATTTCTTTGTAATTAAGGTGACATGAACCAGAGATCACTAATGATGGACAAATAACACCTTCACAAAAGTCTTTCTTCAGGACCCAACTTACAGTGATAAGAAAAGGAAAAAAAGAAAATTAAACTGAAATGTAAACATTAGATCGGACCGTCTTGTACCTGATGCCTCTGCTTAACAGCTTCCTCCACGACCACACGAGCCGGCAACCAGGCGGACTGGTAATAATCCAGTTTGCCCAGGAACTCCTCCCCAACCATTTTCATAGCCTTCTTGAAACCCTCCTGGTGAAACAACACACATGCTGTTGTCAAGGACAGTGAAACAATGTAATACTGAATCATAATATGAAGGCAGAAATACAGTGTTCTGACAACTGACTAGACTTAAGATGTTATTTTGATGAAAAAAAGAATTTGCTCCTCCTGTTTCAAAATCCTTATGATCATTCACATCTTTCATCACAATACAACACCACCTCTGAATTCCACCTGCAGTTTGATGTCAAACACTGTGTGCCAGATAAATGGGGATAATAAAGTCTAAGCATCTCCTCCTGATCTTTGCAGCGCCTGTCATGTCCTCCACAAACCTCAGTCTGACCGCTCTCTCTCTCACATAGTCTCATGAGCAGAAACCCGAGAGAGCATGAGAAAGAAAGACAGACAGAGATACAGGCACAAACACATGTCACCATGAACACTTACACACAGGCACACACAGTCATGCAGAAATCTAATCTCCATGCATCTGATTGAAGGGGGGAGTGTGGGGGGGGGGGGGGTGCAGGTTCCCTGAGTTTTACAGTCATAGATGTTGGAGATGAAAATCCATTATGTTTTTCAATTATCACAAACAGCCAGTGTTGAGAGTTCACCACGTCAGTCTACCATTAAGTTCTCTGCCAAACATTTTTCAATACAAATCTCTCTCACTTTCTGATCTCTCAGCGCTGTCAGTTGGGAAAGTGCTGAGACATGAATTATAATCATGTGAACTCAAATGTGAAAAAAAAAAAAAAAAAAAAACCAAATAGGCCGGCTACTCCACTGAGATGAAATGTTGGCATAGTCAACATACATGTAGCCAGGCTGCAGGTATCTCATGAGAGTCTACAGGAAACAGGGGCTGTTTCCCTGCAGGATTTCCCCTTCTACACTTATGAGGGAGAAAAGTCACACAACACCATTTCTGGGCCTCTGTTGTTTCTGTACAGCTCTGGAAACGACTTCTGAGTACTGACTGCACTGTCACTTGCACCTGTTGTATCTAGTTACCTATGTACCAATTTTGTATTTTTTGCATCACTGCAGGCTGTGCATGATAATCATTAAAGGAGCTATTTGTAAGATTTGCTATGACTACAAAGTTAACCTTTGCATTAACAGCTGTTCAAAATAAGCAGGACAGAAGCAATTAGTCAATTAAGTGATGAGTCACTTACTCACTAAATTAATTTTCTGAGCAAAAATGCAAAACATGCCCAGTTCAAATTTTTCCAATGTGAGGGTTTGTTGTTTTTCTCTGTCTTAGTAAGTCAATATCTTTAGGTCTTGTACTGCTGCTTGGACAAAATATTGCAATATGAAAGCAATTTTAAGACGTCATCTTGAGCTTTCAGAAACTGTGATGAGCATTTTTCATTCTGACCTAGTTGTCAGTTTCAGCCTTAGAAATAAGTGTTCCCACTTTGGCATGTTATTCCTTGGATTCAATCAGTCTTGTAGCTCCAAAAATTAATGAACATTTTTAAAATCCTCTCTGGATATTAAATGCATATCCAGATTTGAGGAGATCAAAAAAATTGAAAAGACACAAAACATGTTTATGCCCTAGAAATATTTTTGGTTATAAGGTTACAAAGAATATTAGCTTTACAGTGTTTGAAACATGTCTGTGTGGCAGCTGTTATGTAGTGTTCGATGTGTTTTGCCATCAGCAGATAGAGTTCCCATTAGTCACACAAATCCAGCCAATGATAAACCACACATTTATCACAGAGTACTGTGACGCACTAAAGTGCAGCCAATAATTTAGACAGACAGGCTTTAATGGTCATAAAACCTGCTGCTGCTGTGATTCAGAATATCCAGATGTACAACAATCACTTGACCTCACACCTTCTAAAAAAAAATGTGTTGTTACTAACCTTCTCTGCTGCCCAACGCAAATCTAATCACATTTTTAACATTGAAGCTAAATCCAATTTCCTAAGTATATCCATAACCTTGTAATCCTGAAATCCAAACCAACCTGTGAAATCTGAAATCCCGGTTTCAGGATTTTTCTAATTTTTCATTCCATTTGAGGTCACCTACCATCTGCTGCGTCCAAAAACAAAGCTATGGGAGCAGTGAGAGTGATCCAAGGTGGACACTAAACAACGAGCTGGAAAGAAATATCGGTTATAGCCACTTTAAAACGACAAGACACAAAAACCACGTATGTTCCATTTTAATAATCTCATATCACAGATTCAGACCCACACACAGTAAATGAAGCCTGTGATCTTAAGTTTAACATTCTATTCAAGCTGATACAAAACAAGTTCTGCATCACACCAGTCTGTGTGCTAAGTGTGGGTACACATTCACACTCATACAATCACTCACATGCGCTCACCTCAGTGTCCTGACTCTTGCTGTTCCAGCGTGGGTTCAGAGAGCCGACACGTGCGCTCAGGTTGCTGGAGATGGTGTAGCGGACCTCCCCATCCCACTGTGAAATGCCGTTGTCTATAGCGTCCACCTCCTCCACAAAGTTCTCGTAGAGCTGTAAGGAATTTAATCAGACATGAGAGGTTATGAGCCTGTAGTGAATAGGAATCTCTGGTTTTATGTTTATGCTTGTTTTTAAAAAAGAAGAATTGGCCTCCTTTATTTTTTAAGCCAGCGTAGTAAAGACAGAGAAGACTTTCAGGAGAGAGAAATGCACTGGGATTAGATTATCTTGATTGAAAACCCGCTGGGTCAGTGCGTGGGCATTCACTGAAGGCTAAAGTGCACGGCTGAATCATTAAACCAAAGGAAATTGGCAAATTGCAGCTATTTCACAGTTCACTGGCAAAACTCCAAAAAGAAGTGGATGAGGAGCAGAGAAGCTGAAACATATTTAAGGCTGAAAAGTGAACTCCTCAATACATCAGATGGCCAATCACCATAGAGATGACATTTTACAAGTGTCTTACAAGTGTAACTAAGCTTTTGGGGCAAAAAATGAGGTTCAGTTTGTCTGAACTGGCTGACGACGATACACGCAACATCCTAAAATAAATACAGCCCCCAGCCATGAATAAAAGGATTATTCTGGGCTTTGGACGAACCGACACATCAAAAGGCCAACGACAGTGTGAGTTAATAGAGCTAATATTCATAGTGACCTAAGATTTGGCTGGCTTAATGTGCCTGGACATTAAAACGTTCGATGTGCCGAGGCCTCCTGCTGGCCAAGATGTCTAAAATGCATTACATATAACAGCAGTGTTCTCAGATTGAATCTGGCGAGGAAACTTTGTCACGTCCCTGTCTGTCTGCTTTTATTTCTAGTCCCACTCGACTGCCAAGTGTCTGATGAAAGCAAAATGCCATAAACTAAACTTAGACAGTAAACATTCTGCATTTCCTACAGACAGTAAGTGCATGGTTTCTGTTTTTAAAACAACCAACAAGGATGAGGCGCCCTTTAGTAATATGATTTGCTTTCATGTGACATCTATCATGTGACATCTATGGAAAGAAGCTGGAGTATCTTCTCTCTTTACCACTATACAAACTTTTGTTCCCTTTGTCTCCCCACTCTACAAGGAAATTCACTATGTTTAGATTGGATGTAACAGACCATGTAACATTTTGACACGAGTGAGGCAATGGAAAACATCTGCTTCCACTGAAGTGTTTGTGTGTTGTCAATAAACGTTCTCCTCTTACCTTGTCATACAGAATCTCCAGCTGCTTGTCATCCTCCTTCAGCTGTGTCAGCTGGGCCAGCAGCTGACGACCGAAGTGCATGTAGACCAGGCCGGCCGAGCTGAGCTTGGTCACCCATGGCTTCTCTGGACACAAGCTATGGAAGCTCTCCTTAAATGACCTGAACAAAAAAAAAAAAAGACGAGAATCTGTTAGCCGACTGCAGCAGAAACAGAAAAGTCCTTTAAACGCATGACAATGTTGTATCCAGAGGCAGTGAAAAAGATCATTACAGTGTGTAAAAGATGTTTGTATAATGCTTTCAGATGCTTTCCACTTCCACAAAAGTGAAACATGTATCTGTTCTCATGACCAACACAAACAATCAGCTTAATTTTATGGTTGGAAGTAATACTGGAACTTTTAGTAATCTATTAGTTGATCACCGAAAAAAATCAGCAATGGCAATTGGATGGATATTTTTTGAATTAATCCTGAAAATAAGCCCTGGCCACAGTCCTAATTGGAATTGAACATTCATTTGTATTGATTTAAGATTAGGAAAACTATTTGTGAAGCCAGTTCCCACCTTAACAAATGTAACTGTGAAGATAAACTATTCATAGTTTCTTTACTTATGTAAAATAAAAATAAAAAAATCTTATTAATGAATTAAAAATCTGTTTTTTGTATGGTTGCAAGGTCCCATACAAAGCAAATAGACAGGAGCATACATCATTTCTGCAAACTGAGAAACTCTGCATGGATTATTATATGCCGAGGATGTTCAATACTCAGTAGGAAAGACCAAGGCTTAGGTGATTAGACATCAGTGTTCTGCTCATAAACATCTCAAACTATTCACATTTTTCCCCGATAACAGGCCTCGAGTAAAATGTCTGCTGCATTCAGCTGCACGCTGTACATTACTGGATGTGAATCAGATATCAATAAAAAGGACTTGTATCCGTAAATATTCTTTTCAGCTCCACAGAGTGAGTTTGCATTGACCGCAGAGAGAAAGCATGCTCAGGCGTGTTTGTAAGCGTGAGCACACATAAATAAAAGCCACCGGAGGTCTCTCCTCAGCCACGTGCTGAGATGGGTGGGCTCCAGCACTGAGCCACTGCTGGTCATTTAATTCAGACTTAATTAGGATGCTTGGGCTGCGGCACAGCGGAAAACAGACCGTCAAATGAATGAGTGACATGCTAGAGAAGGGGGGGGGGGGGAATCACAGCCATTAAAGGACTAATTGGCCAAGCTGAGGCATTTCTATGCTGATTATCGGGAGATGGGAGTGAATTTGCGAGAGGAAAATAACAATGAAATGGAGAATGGCTGAAAAAGATATGCTTACCAAAGTGAAGTCATGAAAATGTTTGTGTGAAATCAAAGATGGTTACATGCCTGAACAGACTGGCATTTACCACACACAACTAAAATCAAAAGTCAGTGAAGTAGAACATAAGAGTTGGACATATTATTGCAAGAATTAAGTATTAATAAGCATTGTTTAAACATAATTAACATATAATATGATTCCCATACTGCAGCTGCTGCACCAGTTTTGCTGATCATGCTGTAGTTTTAGAAAGAATGGCCTCATCGCATACTCTTCACTGCATTCATGAACATCTCTCCTACTTGAAGCATCACAAGTCACAAAAGCACTTTATAAAAGAAGAATATTACTGGCCAGTAATTTCCCTTCATTCTGATCCCGGCAGCAGCTTAGAATGATGGGAAATTTGTCTTGAAGAGAGACCGAACCTGTGTTAAAGAAGAGTGCGAGCTTTAAAAGACAATGTTTTGAAAAATAGTTTGACATAAAAGACCAGTGTCACCGTAGCTACTCGACTTCAATTCAATTCAATGGCCTTGCTTGGTGTTTACTTCATTCAGTGAATATTCTTAGTCACTGGGGTTTTTCCTCTTGTTGTAGAGAAGCGTACTGTATCTTCAACCATTCCACTGTTCTCGGCCTATTAGTTTTTGCTAAATAATGACCAATCTCCAAACTATCTTTTTTTCTCCTGTTGTTTAGACAGAAATTGTTCAGACTAATATTTTTCATCTCTAAAAATTTCAAACTGGATTGAGAAATATCTATCTGGTTACTCATGTCCTCCTTTGAGAGGGAGATGGACGGGAATGTTACGTTTTAATTCATTTAGATCTCACTGTGACCTTCACTACTGTAGAGTACACTAAATTGTATTACAGGAGGTCTTCAGAAACCATGGCACTCTCTGGATCATTGCTGGTCTAACTCCTGCCTTTCTGGGGAAATGATCTCAATGAAAACAATTCAACATTTGTAACTCAGTGCAGATTGGGGATGGCATTAACTATTTAGTATAAGATTTTTTAAGAGAAGGCTTACCTGTGCCTGTATTGATTTGACATTTCTTGAAAACTCCGAAAACTTTAAGGCCAAATTAAGTGAATGAACTGAGACCGTGTTATCATGCATTATAGAAAAGGGGAAGCCTGCAGTGCTGGTTTGCAAAGTAACACACATCCAGTGGGAGAAACTTTTCTGGTTTAACTATTTTAGTTCTCTGCTGACTGAGGGCTACAGCATGCAGACCATATTCATAACCGATGCGCTGTTGCAGAAATATATTTTCTTACTTTTATTTCTTTGCTGCGCGGGAGCAGTGATTGCCATTTCCACCACAAACTTAATCCCTGCCAGATTTAATCTGTTGTACTTTATTAACTTCTAGTCTGTATTCAGAGAACATTTCTCCTGCAGCCATTTTCTTCTCTGGTCAAGAAACTTGTAAAGACTTCTAAGATAAAAGCTTTCTATATCTGCAGCAGTTTCTCAGGGTGAAACCCAATAAATCTTAAGGATAAAAATGATTCATGAATACAGTTTTTATAATCATATAGTCTATTTTCAACATTCCAAAGTTTGGATGAAAACTAAATTAACACCTCCTATTAATTATCCATGACATGACTTTAAAGGAATAGTTCAACATTTTGTGACATACACTTGTTTGCCTTCTTGCCCAGAGTTAAATGAGAAGATCAATATCACTCTGTTATGTGTGCATTCAATATGAAGCTGGAGCCAACAGTCATTACGCCTGGCATTACATAAAGACCTGAAACAGGAAAGAGCTGTTTCCAGCTGTACTGGCTCTGTCCAAAGTTAAAAAAAGAAAAAAGAAAAAAGAATAATATGCTGCTTTACAGTTGATTTTGTGCAGTGACTTCCTGGAGTAGACACTTGTTCCCTGGCAAGCTTACAGAGAGGACAAGACTTCAGGAAACTACCAAGAAATAGAAGGGAGTTATAGTTTCACATAACCCCCCATGAAACAGTCAATAGTGAAGTGGATTTTGTTACCTTTGGATAGAAGTCAGCTCAGTTCACAATTTATTTATCCCCCATGGGCAATTCATTTGTAGCTTTCCAGTCCATACATTCAGTCTCAACAGACAACCAACCGACCAGATATAGTTAAAATGTCAGAGGAAACATATCAAAAAGCATGGGGCAGAAGTTACAATAAGTAATACAAAAAATAAAAGCAATAAAATAAAAGCAGTAAAATAAAAGCAGTAAATAGAGCCAGACTAGCTGTTGCCTATGGCTGTTTCCACTATTTTTAGTTTTCAAGCTAAGCTAACCATCTCCAGGCTCCAGTCACTTATTGAAAAGACAGACACGAGAGTGGTGTCAATCTTCTCATATAACTCTCACCAAGAAGCAATAAACATTAATAAGTGTATTTCCCAAAATGTTGTACTACTCTTTTATTGGCATAATTTCATGCTCTTATTTTACATTTCTGGCCGTGTTGAACTGGTTTTGCTGTCAACTTCATCTGTAGACGGTCACTGTTTTTTAAGAAAAGTGCTGCTGAAATGAGGACTCTAATCATTCTTGTCTAATCATTCTCCAACTTCCTGTAGCAAACCAGCCCACTCACATGTATCCCTGCCATCACCACCACCTTGCCCCCATCTGGATGTGCAAGTGACAGCCACATTCTCCTGTGGCCCCTCACAGTGTCGTGGCCTCGTGAGCGAACAGCAGGGGGGCGTTCAATTGAAGGAGTGCTAATTATCACTAACCGCCTGCCAGGAAGAGAACCCTGGCATATCTTTATCACCGTGGTCATAAAAGCTATCTCTGATTATCATCAGGACATTAAGCTGACAAGACACCTGGAATGGGCTGATTACCCAACGTGATGAGACTTCGAGTGAATGCAATCATTCAGAACTTTGGCAGGAAATTTAGCAGAAAACACAGAGCCTGCTCCTTCATGATTCATGCAATCAGTCAGTACTTCAAGGATGACAGAATCCTTGAATCCAGATTTGACTCTCTTGTCCTTGAACCCTAATAAAAACAGAACTTTTTTTTTTTTTTTTTTTTTAAACTTAGTTTTCAAAGTTGACAACTAAAAAAAGAGCAACAGGTCTGAAATCCAGTTTGATTTCCCAGTCTAGAGTTCAGGAAGTTATGACCAAGGAGAAGATGTGTACTTTAATCCAAATCTAAAAAGGCTCATGTGTACAGATGTATCAATGCGTCTGTGAGCCTATGACTTCTCAGCACTGAAAACAATACAAATAGAGCAAAACTGATACTGGAATTTTGAGATTGATACTGGTATCAATATTTGAGAGTTTAAAAATCTTGACATATTGACTGCTATCAATTTTTTTTTTTTTATCAATTATACAATTAATTGATTATCAAAACTGCTGCCACTGAATTTTACTCTGATTGACTTATGAATTAAAAATGAATTGTTTCAGCTCCAGTGGGTTCAGATATATCTCCGAGAAACTGGCTGATAATATCTGTCTAATAAAAACAAGACAAGTGGTTGGCAACCTTGTGACATATTAAAGCAGGAAAAGCCCAGGTGTAATTAATTATGTCAGCTGGCTCAATAACATGGCTTACTGGCACATCTAAATGGAACAAGCCATCGTTAATGATATTCGTTACACCTGTGCACTGCAGCTATCACATGTAAAATGCCTTCTCTACTATTTTACAGTATTTCAGTAGATTTTTCGATCACTAAAAAAAACATGGTGTTCCTTTCTTTTACCTGCCTGAGAATGCTCAGTGATTTGAGAGAAACATCATGATAATTAGTACATCAACTTACTCACCAACTTAAAGTCAAACCTGAGCTGCCACTTTCAGTAGGTAAACATTTCACACAATTACTGTGTGAGAAATCTAACTTTGTAAATGCTTTATAGTATTAATTTAGTAATGGTGTGAAAATCACTGGTGATGATGATTAACCATATTAAAATAAACCCACGCTATGATTACTGTAGCAGATGAACAACAAGTATTCATATACTCCCCAGTCTTAGTTCACTTTATTCCAAATATCTATAAAGATCAAAAATGTAATAAACTTAATCGGTCTGCAGCAGCTTTCTGTGAGTGCTGTACCTCTGATGATGGTCGTATCGGTGCCTCTTTGGGTCAAACTCTCCTCCCACATCTACAACAACGTCACACTGTGCCAGCTTTGCCGGGTCCCTGGTCCGAACGATTTCAGAATCCTGTGCAATAAATAGAGAGATTTGTAGATCTGCAAGCAGGTATCATCAAGCACCTGGTAGAGGCACATCATTAAATAAATTACATCTGATTTTCATGTATAGGGTTCATTTAGGTTTTCTGAGCCATATCAAACTAACAGCCAAATGCATTGAAATAGATTCAACTACGACCATAAATTATACCTATAGTGTGGCCCTAATTGGACCCACTGGAAGTAGGCCTCTTGCCCGTTTGGGCTCTGACCTTTAACTAAACTAAATGCCACCAGCAGAGACTTAATTCTGAGAAAATCTGATTCATTTCATCCCGTTTACAATTTTGACTAAATCAGCTTTAAAGGATTTTAAGTGCCGCTATGTTAAGACGTCAGGCACTAGTAGAAACACATTAATCTGACTCACTTTCTGCTGACTTATTTTCTCCTATTATGTACATTGCATAATTATACTGGAGTCATTATAGATGTATTTCATCTTTCAGGGAGCTCCAACTATCCATCTATACAGCAGCACCCCCATTTGGTGTGTTTTAACATAACATGGGACCCATTACAGTGGAATGTAAGAAATATTTCTCCAAAAAGAAGCAGAATACAGAATGAAGATATACCTTCACTGTGTAGGTTTATTAACAACAGCCTTTAAATTGAAGTGGCAGACTGTGATTCCGCAGCGGCAGTTATGGAAACAATAAAAACACTCGACACACACAATAAACACACAGCAGCTTTCTGTGCTTACCTTGTATTCAGGTAGCTGGTGGAGGAAGAAACAGGCCAGGGCCTCATCACAGTGGAAGGTGCCGTTATGAGTCCCGATCTTTTTCACGGTCATGTTTTCTGAGCAGAGTCTCTTAGCTTCACTTGACATGTAACGTGGTTTTATGCAAGTAGCGTCTACAGAAAGCAAACAATAACGGTTAGCTTGTGAATTATACTGCCGTAAAACACTCGCAAGTTTGCTAATGTTTGTTAGAGACGTGTTTTTTGTTAATTTAAGCACTATCATATGAAGACGCCGCATTCAAGCCTAATTCATCCACGATGAGCCGCGTTGGTGGCGGACGGCTATGATAGCCGGACCGGATATATGGACCGGATATGGCGCACCTGTTTTGTGAACCGGGAAAGTTTATATTACTATAATAATATATAGATTAATTGTTGTCAAATGAACCCAGACAAAGTTCTGCCTTGGTAGCTTGGTAGGAAAAAATCGTATTTGTTGACTAAGTTCAGTGAATAAAAAAGATAAAGAAAAAAAAAAGACTTATTTTGTAGCTGTGATGTTTGTATGAGCAGAAGAGCCTTGATCAAAATTAAGGTGCAGTTTCATGTTTGACCACAAGGTGGCAGCATTTCCTCTGAAAATCAGTTTCCATTGAACCGTTGGCTTTAACGGTCCAGCTACTCCTGCTACTATTGCTGTTACTGCAGCTGCCAGTACAATCACTACATGAAACCAATGTGAACTACAAGAGCAGCATCAGACCAAAGCTCTGTAGTGTAACAGTTTTATTCCTTTGCGATTTATGAAATGCACCTCTGCAACAAGAATAAATATGCCAATATATGCCAAGCACTAATTCACCACTCACTGTGATTTTTGTTGTTGATTTTTTAAATAATTATTTTGTGGTTTAATGTTTCCCTCTCATGATAATAGTAGCAATAATAATAATTATTATTATAATTGTAATAATAATAACAATAATAATTTTATTATTATTATCATTATTATTATTATTATTATTATTATTATTATTATGAATAACAAACAGGGCTTCACTCATTGGCTTGGTGTTCTTTCCTTTAGTAATAAAGGATTTATGTGTGGACCCATAACTACCGCTCTCTTCTTCTCTCTTTATTTAATTTGTAAATTAATACAACTATAAATGCAGATATGAGCTGCAACATTGGAATCGGGGTGTGGCCATTGAGGAGGGTCAGACTCAGCCCTCGTCCCCAACTCTCGCGCTCGCGATATTACCGTCAAGATTTATTGACAAGCTAATTAGCCAGATGGGATCCTTATAGTATTCAGGCTGGACAGAGACACCGTGGATTTCAGGGCTGTCTTGTGTGTGTGTGTGTGTATGTGTGTGTGTGTGTGTGTATGTATGTCGGGGGAGCAACTGTTCTTTCTTCACTTACAAACCAAGCCACCAGTGGAGACCAGATAGTCGTGTCACTTCATACAACACCGAGCCTGCAAAAGGTATGTTTTTCTACTAGAATCATGTATGTTTCCTGCAGGGCATGATTCATCCCTCCGATGATGCTCAGTGTGAATGCACCAGTCTGATGTTGCGTGTACATGATGCACTAGTTATAATACAGCTGTACAGACAGGTATTATGAGTCGAAATGCAGCTTCTGTCTACATTTCGGGACAATGGAGAGTCACCGCAAGGCTACAAGATTTATATCAGTAAATTGAGCAGTCGAATTATTTGGTGCAGGTGCAGGTTGAGTTTACGGCAGCCAGGTGGCACTGTGGGCCAATAATTCTGCTGTGCTGCTCGGTCTTGATTGCAAATCACCACTTCACTAGCCACGTTGACAGCTCTTTATTTCACCATAATGAAATCGATTAAATTGACTTTTCTTTTTTTTTTTTTTTGAGGGGGCTTCCATTTTCCTGAGAGGGTAGGGTGTAGGGTTTCTGAAGAAAATGACCTTCAGCTGACGGTCGATCCACTTCTTGTTGTAATAACCTGACATCTCGCCTTGATTTGCTTAAAAACAAATCGCCTGCAGTAGATGTAGTAAAAACAAAGTTTGGCATATTTGGAGATTTTGGAAAATGTGTCAGAGGAGAAAGGTAGTGCACTGCTGAAAAAAACTGACCAACCTTTTGGACTTGTATTGAGCCTTAAAGGTTATTTGTCAATTAGGAGAGAAAAGTTTCAGTTATAGTGTGACTTGATGATAAAACAAAAAAGTTTATTAAATAATTGATTAAATTATGAAGGAACACTTTTTAAGATAATGCCACTGAAATGAATAATTGAGGTCAGGAAAAGTAAAGCCATTTTATTTGGCTGATTGGTTTTCATTTGTTTCTGGAAACTGAGACTGCAAGACTAAAACCAAGTTAAATTGCATATTCCAACCTTCCACTATTTTCAACATCTTATTCATATTCACAGCCACAGGTTGAATGAGTAAATACTTGAAGAACCTTTTGCAATTGCTAACAGGCTTAATAGTCCATGATCAGCACCATGGTCAGCGCACTGCACTGAAACATGAGGCTGAAGTTGCCTCCTGATGTTGCACAGTGGATGTTTCTTTTATGTTAACGTCTTGTTTTTGAAAAAACGTCTTTCATCCTCACACTCTTGATGTGGCATCATTTCCATCACAGTTTTGTAATGAATAATAATTGGCATATTTACTTCAGCTGAATTAACGACTCTTAATTCATCTAATATGTGATAGAGTCAAGTGGGTAATTAGCATAACACTGTATAATTGGTGACCGGTATTCCTTCAGAATACAAATTTGGAAAACAGTGCCACTACCTCTTATTATTCTGCATATATCAGGAAATACATTCAGTATTGTGTGTGCTAAAAGGATATTACTGGAAATGTAGCTGCAGAGCAGAAACATGCAAAGATGGAAGAAGAAATGTCACAGACAGACTTTAAGATAAATAAAGAGATAAATGTGAGGGGCTACAAGATGATTACACTGATAAAAAGAAGGGGGGGGGCTCAGAGGGCCTCAGATTCATATACTCAAGACCATGATTACACGGTGTGGCGTCTTACTATAATAAGAAAATAATTTACATATAACGTGTAATTTATGTGACTGTTGCAACAAAATCAAACACAGATCCACAGTTTAAGTACTTTTCTGTTCTGTTCTGTCACACAAAATGTACTTAATTTTTTCTGACTTCTCTAGTTTTTGTTTTTCTCATCAGGTGTGTAAGAATCCTTTTAAAATCAAACAAATTTGAGAAGGAGAAATCACTTTTGGCTTAAATTTACAGTTACAGAGAAAATCAGAGTTATAAGGAGCCAGAGGATATCCAATTGGGTTCTGCCTCAGGGGTACTGTAGCTGCTCCTTTTTCCCAAAAATCGAATGAGTCACAGTCACAAGCAAGCTGGTTATAAACAAGCCTGAAGATAATGTTCATCAGCCAGCGAGCCCGCGCCCCATTGGCTAGCCTCACACCATGAGATACAGCTGTGGGTGGTGGCTGAGAAAACGTCACACTGCTTGTGATTTTCCTGCCGCTTCCAGTTTTACACATAGCAGTGATGGGAAATGAACCTGCCCCAGCTTTCCTTAAAAGGAAGAGCAAAGCAGCGTTCAATCAAAAAGTCAATTATTTACTATAGGGCAAGTGTACGTCACATTCCCCTGAGTTATAACACTGCAGTGGCGGCTTTTCAACAGCAGAAGCTATAGTGTCATGGCTGTGGATGTCGGAGAGTTAACTGAGGAACAAATATAGGACATTTTTGGTATTGTGAGGATTTATTTATTTATGATTACAACATTTGGAAAAAAAAAAACAGTACTATGTATTCAAATAATGTTCAAAGCATCTTATCATTTGAGCTTAAACAGCAGATTATTTCTCATCACTGGGTATTGATTATGTTAATGATTACACAAATGAGACAAATCAAATTTGCTTTCCTAAAAGTTCAATAGGTAGACATAACTAAGTGTCCCTTATAGTGAAAAATAAATAACAGACATCTCTCAAATGATCTTTACATTAAAATATTAATAATTCATGACCATATAATTAACTCTTTATTGAAGCAAATTTATTCAAACCTCTTCCATCTCAGCCTTCAGATTCACTTTTATTGGGGCGACATATAATATCACAATATTAGAAGAAAGACAGATGCATGTATTGCATTAATTAAGAAGATCCATAAGTATAATCAGTGATTTTACACATTTTGGTGAACCAAGTCTTTTGGCTGTCGTAATGAATTGCTGTGGTCAACCCTGAAGCATCACAAATGTCTTCTTTTTTTTTTTTTAATTGTTAGGATTTAGAATTGTGCATTTGACAAAATGTCTGTTTAGTATTTCTGCTTATACTTTCCTGTCCTGCACCCTGAGAGAAAAAGTTCATTAACATCAAGTATTTCCCCACAGCACATCTAATGAGATACAAAGTGACTTCCCCGCAGCCAAAAAGAAGAGACCCACAAAACAACAGCCTAAAAATCGTCAACATAATTATTAACACTTCCCCTGTAACAGCTGGTGAGCCTCTACACTCAAGGGCATTTGGGAAGTGTAGTTAATCCAATGATAATCTTGAGTGTGGTTTACACATATTATCGCTTTAATTGCCATGTGTGCTATGCAATTATAGCGTCACCAATTACATGGCTATAGTTTACTAGCCTGTCTAAGCATTTGGTTCCCTCTAATAGATGCCCTTTATCAGCGCGTGGAAGTGAAGCCACCAAGACGCACACTAATGGATTTTCCATCTACTTAATGAATTAATTATATGTTCTGAAGCAGAGTGTTGCAGGATAATGCTGAGCCATGCTATATAGCCGTAGATATAGTGTAGAGACATGAGATCCTGAGAAAGGGACAGAGGGTTGAAGGTTTTAGGTGATGTAGCCAAGGAAGGTATATGTGTGTGTTGAGCAAGAGAGTACTATATGTGTGTGTGTGTGTGTATGTGTGTGTGTATGTATGTCCATCCATTAGAATGCAGAGTGCGTCCTCCAGTGTGAGTCACCCACCCGAACCCTCCCTCATCTCCCCCTCCCCTCCCATCCACCCACCTCACACCACCAGCAGCATGTAACTGCAGTCACCGCCTAATATTATGCCTCTGACTTCACACCAGCCAACTGAGGATTCTGTTTCTACGGCAACACGCTCCGGACTCCTCCCCCTCGTGTCCCCACCACCCATCCTCCGTCCCCCCCCAACGCCCCACCCCACCCCCCCCTTCCTGGCACAGACCATGTGACTTTCAGGAAGGCTTCTCCATCCTCCCCTTTATTGTTATTAACCCTCTCCTGACCAGGCTGCTGCCAGAGGCTCTCCACAGCAGGC